TTTCAGGTCAGGATGTCGGCCAGGGAGCGTGACGTGACGGAGCATATCGGGACTTTTAGGACATTTATATATGTTTTGGACTGTATAAATATGACTTACGCTTCCGCTTGTCTTTTGAGGACTTATGATGATGTTTTGATATATTTTGACGAACTTATCATATTTTGACGAACTTTTCAGAAAATAAAGTTTTCAGTAACCGGACGTTTTTATTAAATTAAAACAACGGTTTTTCTAAAGATAAGTAAGGATTTTTCACGGTAGCACCCCAAATCAGTTTTCGCAAAGTAAAAAGGTTTTATTTTTCACAGACTTTGCGAATTATTGCGCTACTCTGATTTTACAGTAAGGTGGGGTGTTACAATTGGTATCAGAGCACGTTTCTGTGTCTCTGATAAGTTTTCAGTTAGAAAAGTTTTCAGTCAGTGATTTTTCAGAAAACCCGAACCGTCATGCTCACGCCCCGCCGACGACTGGTAAGTGCTGATTCAGTTTTTCAGTTATAAACATATTACTTTGTCTATGCTCAGAATTGAGGATCAGGATTTTAGTTAAGATGCTCGAATCAGGTTCAGACTTTAGAGTTCGGACATGACTCTAGAATTTAGGTATTCAGATATGACTCTAGACGTTAGGATCTTCCTATATGACTCTAGAGTTCTTCAGGTTCCAAGTCAGTATTTATCAGCCATTTTTGGCAACTCGTCAAGAGATCTGTGTGCCTAGTAATCAGTCAGTAAGGCTATCATGTAATATTCAGTAATGGTAATCTTTTTCAATGATAAGATGCCGCCACGTAGAGAGCCCGAGCATCAAGCTCCTACTCAGGCTATGGTAGTCGCTCAGTTCCGCGACTATCACGCAGAGAAGTTCTCAGGTCAGGGCGACCCCCGTATCATTGATGAATGGATTCAGGGGTTGGAGTTCATCTTTGAGGTTATGGAATGCCCCGATAGGTATCGCGTAGTTTGCGCTCAGCTTCAGCTCACTGGTGATGCAAGGCTCTGGTTGAACGCCTAATGGAGCATGCGTCCTGGTGAAAAGGCGGGTTGTACATGGGACATGTTCAAGGAGCTAGTCCGTGACAAGTACTACCCTTCC